GTTGTGAGCACCTCAGCTCAACAAAATCATTCAAATAACCATCATATCCGCCTACCGGAAATAAAAATTCCACATTTCGATGGAAATATAGCAAATTGGCCTAGTTTTATCGAGATGTTTAACAAACTTATCGTTGATGATTTAAATCTTTCAGATATTGAAAAACTAATTTATTTAAAATCAATTCTCAAGAACGAGCCTCTACAACTAATTGAAAATTTGGAAGTTGTAGGCCCAAATTTTTCCGTTGCGCTCGATACACTTAAGAATAGATTTGAAAACAAATGTTTAATAATTAACACTTATTTAAAACAACTTTTGAACGTTCCTTCATTAACAAAAAATACTGCTCAAAACTTGCGAGAATTCTTAACTCACATAAAAAAGAATTTAAGTGCGCTAAATAATTTAAATATCTCCGACAATCTTGCAGATTTAATTTTAATTCATATATTCACACAAAAATTAGATTTTAATATGAAACGATCCTTTGAATCCGAAAGAGATTTCAACGAACTTCCTACAATAGATGAGTTTTTGAATTTTATTGAAAAGAAATGTAAAATATTGGAAAATTTGATCTTTGAAGAGAAAACAGCTTATAAATCAAAACCGTCTCTTCATATTTCTATAAATAATAGAGATACATCTTTTAAATGTTTCGTATGCAATTCTAACTCACATAAAGTATACTCTTGCCAACAATTTTTAAATTTGTCCGCTCAAGAGCGTATGCAAAAAGTAAAAAACAAAGGTTTTTGTCTCAATTGCCTTGCTAGTGGTCATATGTCTAATTCTTGTTCCTCATCTTCGAATTGCAAAACCTGCAATAAAAGACATCACTCTTTGCTTCACATTTCCCACCCGTCGGAAAATATTTCAAGGCAAAGTTCGTATAGATCGAATTCTGAAAGTCAATCCGCCCAAAATCAATTTGTTCGGAATTCACGTCATCAACGTCCAAATCAGCATTCGTCTCAATTCACTTCGGAGAATATTCATGCAAATTCGCAGAACAACTCTGCTCCAAATACAATTCCGCAAGGTTTACCAGATACGCAAAATCTTCCAGGGCCGAGCAATATTTCGTCCCACTCTGTATATTCGAACAATCTGCAAATTTTACTCGCAACTGCTTTGGTAACTGTTTACGATGTTGAAAACAATCCCATCTCTGTTCGTTGTTTAACAGACTCCGGTAGCCAAGTTTCGTTCATAACAGACAGGTTAGCCAAAAGAATTTGTTATTCACCCTATACCAGAAATCTTCAAATATCAGGTATAGCTCAAACTTCTTCTGTTTCAAACAAGATGGTAGACCTTAAAATCTATTCAAACACATATCCTGGTAAAAACTTTAATCTGTCCTGTGCTGTCCTCGAAAGCATTACGTGCCAGCATCCACAAGTCGCGCTGGATTTAAATTTATTAAAAATACCAAAAAATATAAAACTTGCAGACCCACATTTCTGTACCCCGTCGGACGTAGACATGCTTTTAGGAGCTGATATTTATTTTGACCTAGTTACTTACGGCTTAATAAAATTAGGCCCCAACCTTCCTATTCTTCAAAACACTCATTTGGGTTATATTGTAGGTGGAAATATCCCATACTCTCGTTATGCAATGTTAGGATCAAACGCGACTCCTTCAAAGAACAATGCTCACTCACATTATTCAAATATTTCGTTACACGTACAAACTGCTGATCTTGATTCTACTTTAAAGAAATTTTCTGAAATAGAACAGACTAAACCACTCACTTCTATTCATGAAAAAACATTAACTCCCTCAGAACAGCAAGCTGAGGACACATTCAAATCTTCGCTAACAATTCTTCCTAGTGGCAGATTTCAAGTAGACCGACCTCTGAAGACTCCTAATGAATATCGGAAATTAGGTGAATCATTTCATTTCGCTAAAAGACGTTTTTTCAATCTTGAAAAAAGGCTTAACAAATCAGACGAATTACTGAATCTGCACAAAGAATTCACATCAGAATATGTTTCTTTAGGGCATTGTAAACACGTTCCTCTTTCTAAGATTAATGAATCGTCCGAATATAAGTTTTTTCTCCCACATCATTGTGATTTCAAGCATGATAGCTTGACTACTCGACTCAGGGTTGCATTTATTGGATCAATGAAATCAATCTTAAATGTGTTTCTCAACGACATTACGCTCAAAGGTTATACTGTACAACCTGATTTGTTCGAAATTTTAATTCGCTTGAGACTCCACAAATATGTCTCTTTAGGTTATACCTTGTACAAGACTTATAAGCAACTTTTTATGAGTCTAAATTCCGCTGGAATAGCACTACATAAATGGAGTTCTAATTCTTCTGAGTTTCTCGACTCTACTTCCTCTGAATCTCAAAAATTTAATTATGTAATAAAACTCTATAATTCTTCAAATAAAGTTCTTGGAATATGTTGGAATTCTCAGTCTAACATGTTCTCTATCTCTCATCCTGACATTTCTAGTGAATCAATATACACAAAAGAAGAAGTTCTATCAATTTTCTCTTCTATTTTTGATCCTTTTGGTCTAATACATAAGGTAGTCTTAAAATTGAATCCATTTATAGACGCATCTAATTTAATAAGAGTTGGTGAACGACTTCGCAATGCAAATGTTTCGTATAATCAAAAATTTCCACTTCTTCTTCCTACAAAATGCCAGGTAGTTAGATCGTTACTTGAAAGAGAACACATTCGCCTATTGCACACAGGCCCTCAAAATACATTGTCTAATATTAGACTCACTTATTCTCCTCTTGATGAACTGAGAGAAATCAAGAGGATCATCTACAAATGTAAGAACTGTTACAGATTTAACGCAAGACCAGCTCATCAAATAATGGCCGATCTACCCAAAGAACGGTTTCAGGTCTCTCGACCATTCACAAATGTCGGCATCGACTACGAGGGCCCATTTCAAATAAAATCTTCAAAACTGCGACGTGCTCCCATTTGTAAGGCTTATATAGCAGTATTCGTATGCCTCGTCACTAAGGCAGTCCATATAGAGCTAGTGTCCAGTCTTAGCACCGAAGCATTCCTACTAACGTTAAAAAGATTCATTTCACGCAGAGGTATTCCTAAAACCATTTATTCGGACAATGCGTCCAACTTTGCTGGAGCTCGTAATCAGTTAAAAGAGCTTTATGACTTTTTTATGGGAACGGATGTTCTACCTACCATAAAAGAATTCGCAGCCTCAACATTAATTCAGTGGAAGTTCATTGCACCTCGATCTCCACATCAGGGTGGAATTTGGGAAGCAGCTATAAAAAGCTGCAAGTATCGTTTAGTAAGGATGATGGGCAACAATATTTTTACATTTGAGGAATTAACCACTATTTTGGCTCAAATAGAAGCTGTTTTAAATTCACGACCCCTCTGTCCATTGTCAGATAGTCTAAATGATTTTTCTTTTCTAACCCCCGCTCATTTTCTCATTGGAAGCAGCATGACTTCCTATCCAGAAAAAGATATCTCGACAAAATCCGAAAATAGTTTATCACTGTGGCAGAAATGCAGCAAAATTCAGCAGCATTTCTGGAAATGTTGGTCTAGGGATTATTTAAATCGCCTCCAAAATAAGCCCAAATGGTTTCTGCCCCAAGAAAACATTAAAGTCGATGATCTTGTACTCCTAATCGATGATAACGCTCCTCCTCTAAAATGGCCACTGGCAAGAGTAATCGAAACATTGCCAGGTAAAGACGGCAGGGTTAGAACTGTAAAACTAAGAACTAAAGACGGAACATTTATAAGATCTGTTGTTAAAGTATGTCCTTTACCCCATACTCATTTAGATGTAGGTCACATCAACGGGGGGACTATGTTGCGTAACAACAATACTTAATATTTTTAGTCTAGTTTTGTATCATATTATTTAGTTTATTTTTGTATCATACTGTATATTAGTTTAGATATATAAAATTTCTTTGTAATAATTAATAATCTGTAAAGCGCCGTTATCTTGCATTTAAATAACTTTCTACACAAGTTTCTAAAACCTTCATAGAATCGTAACAATAAAAGGATTAGTATTTTCCAAATTACCCTCTGACGCATTCCAAAATTCCACAAGTAGAGACAAATACCCTTATCAGGTAGTTTTTATCAATGGTTTGAAAGTTAAAGGTATTTGAAAAATAAACATATCTTTTAATACGTCGAGGGGTCAGGGGGGAGATTTTGGAATGTTTGTGATTGAGGGAAGAGAGTGGACATCAGTTCGCAGTTAAAATCCATCAGTATCAGTTCAAATTCCAGCACTGAAGGAGCGTCAGGCTCTACTCGCCCCAGCGGCATATTAGTGTTTTAAACCAGTCAATATAGTTCGTGTCAATATTGTATCACCGACAAGTGTGTATCATATGCAAGTTAGCGGCGTTTAAAATACATTGTATTTGTTTAAATATATTTGTTCAAATGTTCTTTTCGAATCTTCATTTTTCCCAGTTTTCTGGGTGGTCCTTCAAAGAAATATATATATATAAAGTGAACCTATTTCCCTAAGGAAAAACCTTGTTCCCCAAGGGAAAAAACCAGCGACCTATTACTGGTGCGCGAAACAAAGCCATCAGGACAAAGGTGTAAGGACAAACACCTACATCTTCGCTCACTAAGCTTAAAAGAACAATCGATCTATAGCTCTCAGATAATGAAGGGTCTTTTCCCAGTTTGTGTTACTTTTGCTTTATTTGGATGAATTGGACAACTTTTGCTTCATAATTATTTGGATGTAAAATTCAAGAAGCCATTTACGCGCTTCTTTTCTAATGTGTTAATTTGCTAGTTCTAGTGCTAGTTCTTCAAAATATACAAGCTTAATACTTGGTAGTTTTATTCTCTTAGAATTTCTAAGGAATTAAGTCTTCGCAAAATATTAACAGTTTACCTAAAATAAAGGTTCTTATTGTAATACTACCCATGATAATAAAGATACAAAAATTTGCAATATTATTTTCTTTTAAACTTTTTTAGATGGAGTGGTGGTGGTAGATAATGAATATAAAGACAGAAAAATCTTTGGTCAAGTAATTTGCAGTTTTAGATATGGTCGAGAAGCTGACGAAGTCATGGGTTTAAACTTTCAAAAGGATCTTTTTCTTGCATCAGAACAAATTTATCCACCTCCTGAAAAATCGCTGAACACAAAAATGCAGGACCGTCTGTTGAATAAGTTGGGAGAAAACTGTTATCCATTTACTTTTACTTTACCGCCTAGCGCACCTGCTTCTGTAACATTACAACCAGGTAAAAACATAATAGGTGATTTTTATTACAAAATACCACTGCAGTATCTGATATATTTTTATTCTAATTAGTATTTCAAATGGATTCTCTACCGTTCGAATTACCGGACTGTTTTAAGTATCTTTTTTATTTAGTTTTTTTCTTAAGTTTTTTCGCTTTTTAAAACTCACACATCAGAGTTACATAATTTTTTGATGAAGAAGTAAATAAACATTCAAATACTATTATTTTTAAAAAAACAAATGACGGTATTATATTTTGATTTGATACAGAGCAGCAACAAGCCGCATATACGTATTTCGATCTCTTTAGATCTCCTCAGTACGATATAGTTACTACTCCATATCAAACCAAAATATTTTCCCGTCGTAGATTATAGTTATTAAAAATAACTATTTACGGAGGTAACTACGCCATCTAAGAACCAAAAAAGAGAAATCATACGATTTCTACCTGGCGAAATCGAATTCAAATATAAGCCGCCGTGCCCCCTAAGACTTGCGAAGCAAACAGCTTGATGAATGCATCGGCAAGGGAGTCTAAAAATTGCACTCCAAATGCCGTTCATCATGGCCTATATTCGTAGTGAATTCAATTTCTGGTACTCCCAATGAAGTAAATAAACAAAACAAATGACAGTATTATATTTTGATTTGATACAGAGCAGCAACAAGTCGCATATACGTTATACATCTATACCGTACTGAGGAGATCTAAAGAGATCGAAATACGTATATGCGGCTTGTTGCTGCTCTGTATCAAATCAAAATATAATACCGTCATTTGTTTTGTTTATTTACTGCATTGGGAGTACCAGAAATCGAATTCACTACGAATATAGGCCATGATGAACGGCATTTGGAGTGCAATTTTTAGACTCCCTTGCCGATGCCTTCATCAAGCTGTTTGCTTCGCAAGTCTTAGGGGACACGGCGGCTTATATTTGAATTCGATTTCGCCAGGTAGAAATCGTATGATTTCTCTTTTTGTTACTATTATTTTTGTGTGTATAGATATCTAATCTATTAAGTATTAAAAAACTGGTTTGATGAGTTAGGTTTTAGTAATTCACTAAAAACTCCTTAAAATGATAGAAATCGGAATATGTGAGATTGTTAACAATATAAGGACGAGGTTTTAGACTTGACCTCATTCACGGGGGAAAGTACACTTTCTTATTTTTTCGAGCACGTTCTATGTAGCGTGCATCGAATCCACTTCTAAGTATGTATGTCCTGGTTCCAAATATTTTAGATCTAGTATTTGAAGATTATCTATTTTAGCAACAGCATACATCATCGCAGCAGTAACATATTTGTTGCGGTTTTGTCCACCGCTAGTATCTAAAAATGAGGAAACGTGTGTAACAACATTGGGTAAAGATTGTAAATATTTCAGCAAATAACTTTTAATTTCAACTGATCTTTTTTTGCCTTGTGTCTCGTCCTATAAATATGAATAACCATATGAATTGGAAGCGTTAAAAATTGTGAAATTGTAGACGGAAAGTTTACGTCTATAGAATATTTTGCTATCACCAGCATAAGGCACATTTAGTATTGATTGTAAGTCAAATGTAATTGCTCGAAATGTTTTACCTTTATTGTCGACGGCTTTCTGTTTGTCGTCTGCTTTCATTTCCATCGAACTTTTTTCTTTTTGCTTTATGTGCCTTCCACTGACTTTGTAATTCTGTTTTATCTGCAGCACTATTATAAACGTTACATGTTACACATTGATCTTTTTTCGGTTTATAAAATGACAAAGGTGGATCATAATCATTAAATACTGATCTAAATACATTGTAATTAACAGATGGTACATTATTTTTGAGGTAATAGTCACTGCAATATAAACGATACAATAAATAATATAATAATAAAAATAAATATAAATTACACTGACATTTAACTCGACAGATAATGCCTCATATTATCACGACGACAATAATGGGATGCCATTCGAGAAAAAATCTCAATATGATTCTTAATATGACGAACTTGTTCAGCGGATGTTGCATTCGGAGCTGGTCTTCCTTTGCGATGGTCAAAGCCGACATAAATACCACTTTCTCCACGAGACTTCAGTGCAGTTTCAACTATTTGAAAACTAAATGCAAATGTAGCACAAAAATATTTTTGGCATATCTTTACACGTTTATTAAAGCCAGTCAGTAAATGATAATAACGACTATGTTTTCTATCCTTTTCCTGTCAATGTTTTTCACTTCGAGTAACAAGCAAATAAAAATTTTTTGCTTTGTTGAATTAGTTCTTTCTTCTTCACGTGCCATCTCCGCTACGAAGGTCGGCTATCATCATGGCAATTTTGACCCTGGAGGCTGACGCTCGGAACAATTGTATGGAAGTGCAAGCAAACCACTCCCTGAGGTTTCTCAACCACGACATTCTTCTCCTACCTATGCTGCGCCTACCTTCAATCTTTCCTTGCATAATTAGTTGTAACAGTTGATATTTATTCCCACGTGTAATATGTCCCAGGTATTGTAGTAAGATTCCAATATTCTTGGCAAATGATTATTTGTTTTTCTCGAGTTATATTAATGCTACATTTAAACCTACAGTTTTCGCAATTACCAATACGTGGTGACTTAGCTCTTACTGTTACCCCTTTTCTGTTTACATAATTCTGATTTATAATTTTGGTTTGGCTACTAGCCTGCGTTTTCTTTCTCTTTGTGCTGAACCGTCTGTGCTGTAAATTACAGGAGAAAATACTTGACGATTTTCTGTATCATGTGTTGACGAAGCTGAACTACTAGTATTTTCGTCAGACGGGAGGTAGAACGGGAGTGATGGGGGTGATTCTAGTCACTTTCAGAGTCGGAAAATGGCTTGTCAACACTTCATTCTGATAATCGTCTTCTATGAGAAGGCCCCGGCACTGTGCCAAACCGCTCGTCGACAGTTCACTCTGATAATCGTCTTTTATGGAAAGGCCCCGCCACTATATCTAAACAGACGACGTCTTATTTCTCATCTTCTAGATCTGTAACAAAATTTATGCTTTAGTTATTAACATTCGTCACTATAATCTATCCAATAACAAATATTCATAATCCAATTACTACTCACTCTCATCCAGTTTTCATTTTTTTTCTCAAATCGTCAGCCCACCGTGTAGGTGGTCGACCTTCGCTTCTCCTGTCTTTCCTTGGTCTCCATTCCAATAACCTCTTTGTCCATCGCCCATCTTTCATTCGAACTATGTGTCCTGCCCATCTCCATATAAGTCTGAGTATGCTTTCAATGACGTCAGTCACCTTGGTTCTTCTCCTGATCTCTTCGTTTTTTATTTTGTCTTACAGAGTTACTCCTAACATGGATCGCTGCATTCTTCTCTGTGTGACTGTTACTTTGGTAACCAATGCTTTTGTGTGTTTCTGCTCCGTATGTCAACACTTTTCTCTCCAGGCATGTGTTCAGCTCGCTTTTAAAAATCTCTCCCATTTTTCCATATGCTGCCCACCCAAGACCGATTCTTCTCTTCAGTTCATGGGTTTGTTCAAAAATTAATTAGGTAGGGGAAAGGTAGGTAAAGTGGAATGGGTGGGTAAAGCGGAATAAGCTTAAAATTTAATTTCAAACTTGGCGGTTTTTGTTGTAACTCTTACCACAATATACCTTTTGACATTTGGCAATATTTACTTCAATATGGCGCACTTTCATTGATATGTTCATGTGAGTTAAACAAGATCATTGTTTTTTAACAAAAAGTTGTAATATTTGGTGACTAAGACGAAATTTCTTATCAGCAACAGGTAAGTTTTTCTAACCGTATTTATTATCTATTGTATAAAATGGTTATTTGTGGACATAAATACTCTTTCTTTAACTTATTAGCACGTTTGGTTAGTAGCTATCGTGTTTGTACAGAAAAAATGTTGATGCAGGTAAAGCGGAATGACGTTCCACTTTACCTCCTAAAAGTTTAACAATGTTATTAAGTGACAACATTTTTTTAGCATGCTTAATTTTTACAAACGAAAGACTTCGCAGCAGAGTTGGGACGAGAAGGCAATGGCTGAGGCTCTAACTGCATGTCAAGGTGGTTTATCAATTCATTCTTCTGCAAAACAATATAACATTCCATCGACAACTCTTTTTAGAAGATTAAAGCGACCACCAGAAGAACGTTTAGTGAAGCAACTTGGACGATTCCGTTGCGTGTTCACGGTAGATCAAGAGAGGATGTTGGTAGACTATATTCTTAAAATGGAAGAACGCCTGTTTGGGCTAACTATTTCTGACTTAAAATATCTTACCTACGAGTTTGCCATACGAAATAACATTGAACATAGATTCAATAATGAGAAGAAAGAAGCTGGTAAAGTATGGTTGCTTGGTTTCATGAAACGGCACCCAGTTCTTTCACTTCGACTTCCAGAAAAAACGTCAGCAGCGCGAGCGTCAGCATTTAACGCAGTTAGTGTCGGAAAGTTCTTTGATTTATTGGAAGACTTATACCAAAAACACAACTACAAACCTAACCGCATCTATAATTGTGACGAAATCGGAATCTCTACCGTGCCAAATAAGCCTTCAAAGATTATTTCAAAAAAGGGGAAAAAGCAAGTAGGAGTTTTATCATCAGCTGAAAGAGGTACGCTTACAACTGCAGAAATTTGCTTCAACGCTGCAGGGGAATACATCCCTCCTGCTCTTATTTTTCCACGGGTGAGACATCACTTGACATTCGACATTGGAGTTCCTCTGAATACCAAAATTTTCACGCATGCTTCTGGATGAATGCAGACCGAAATCTTTACGGCTTGGTTTCACCATTTTATTAAATTTGCGAAGCCTACCTCCGAGGACAGGGTTTTACTAATTTTAGATGGCCATTCAACCCACATAAAAAACATTGAAGTCTTAGAGCTTGCTAAGAAAAACTTTGTAGACATCCTGGTGCTACCACCACATTGCACACATCGACTTCAGCCACTGGACGTATCATTTATGTATCCCATGTCGACCTTCTATGAACAGGCAGTGCGAGTTTGGCTGCGAACCCACCCGGGGAAAGTTGTGACGATTCATGACGTCGGTCCTCTCTTCGGAGAAGCTTACTTGAAGGCAGCTAGTATGGCAACAGCTATCTCAGGATTTAAGAAGACGGGTATTTGGCCGTTTGAGAGACCTGATCCAAACGTTTTCGTGGCTGCAGATACAACTGATCGTCCTGGGCCTCTACTCGCTACATCTAACCTGCCATCAGCGTCCACTCCAGTGTCAAATGACATTCTCCTCCATAAGACTATTGTTAGTCCTGCGGATATTTTACCTATCCCACGGGTCGCTTCAAATATCGAAAATCCAACGAAGAAAAGGGCTCGATCAGAAAAAACTGTAGTAGCAACTTCTACCCCTTTTATTGAAGAGTTAAAGAATTTGAAGGCTCCGACCCCAAAAAATCCAACCAAGAAAGTTACGAAGCAACTATTTCAAAGCGACAGCGAAGAAGAAGATGATGCAAACATCAGCATTTATAGTGACACCGACAGCGGTTCAGAGTTGGACCTACCAGTTCAAATTCCTACCATAAAAACAGAAGATATTAAGGAAGGGATATATGTAGCTGTAGAGTACAACGGACAAACATTTCCCGGTTTAGTAATTTCAAAATCAGGTGAATCAGCGTCTGTAAAGTGTATGGAAAGGACGCAAAAATATTTCAAATGGCCTAATAAAGATGATGTATTAGATTACAACATTAAGGACATTAAAATGATTATTAATGAACCAAAACAGTTAAGACGAGGGTTTTTCAATGTTCCTGAGCTCTGTTTATATGCTTAGTTGAATAAATAATATTAATCCATTTTAAGTTTTTGTATTCCGCTTTACCTCCAATATGGCGGGTAAAGTGGAATATTACACCACTTTTACTTTTGACGTTTTTCTCCGAAGTGGTGATATATTAGTTTAATTTCTTAACAGTACTACGTAGGGCTATAACGTAAGTGGCTTCTTCCATAAACTCAAACTTTTAAGACGAATACTTCTACCGGGATACAAGCTTGAATCGGTAATTATTCCACTTTACCTACCTTTCCCCTACTATTAATTGAATATTAAAAATATTTGCGGGCACTTTTTGACTGACAATCTATTACCAATGTATTCTCCTAATTTTAAAAGTATATAAAAATGTGAGTTTGATTACCTACATTGTGAACGTGGTGATCCTGCAGTTGGATTTTAGACTATAAGTTTGGAAAGCCCTGATCTATTGGTTAGTCTCATGATAAAAGCAAAATGCGAAATATGATTTAAATAATAATATTTTTTTCATCATATGACGCAAATATACTTTTATCACATATATGTATTGGTATATTTTTTTACTTTTTAATAACAAACAAGGTAACTAAGCAAAACTATTAAAGGTACTGAAGATGAAGGGCAACCATGTGGAGTGCATTATTATGTTAAGATTTTTGTGGGTGAAAATGAAACGGATAGAACTCACAAAAGAGGTACAGTTACCATGGCTATCAGAAAAATTCAGTATGCCCCGTCAAAACAAGGCAGACAACCATGTACTGTGGTACGAAAAGATTTTATGATGAGTCCTGGAGAACTTGAACTGGAAGTTACATTGGACAAACAGGTATATAAGTAAAAGGTAGTATTTAGCAAACATTGACACGTTTAATTTGTAGTTGTATCACCATGGTGATAAGATTGCTGTGAATATATGTATTCGAAATAACAGCAATAAGGTGGTTAAGAAGATAAAAGCAATGGTTCAGCAGGGGGTTGATGTTGTGTTATTCCAGAATGGACAATATAGAACATCCGTAGCAAGTATTGAAACACAGTAAGTATTTTATTAATTATTAGAGAGTAATTTTAATACTTAAAAATGGCAAATTATGCATATTGCCCTATAAATCGTAAACTAAGTAGTACGTAAGGGATATCTGCAGATATTGTTTCTTTAGATTTATAGTAAACTTACTTTATTGATTGAAAAAAAAAACTTATTTAGATGATAAATTATCAAAATTGCATGTATTAAAACGTGCTTAAAACAAAGAACATAAGACCGTGAAAAACCATTAGTTGGTTGAATAAACCACAATAACTGAATATATACTTGATCAATTAGAAAATAAAAAATAAAGAATCAAATGGAAATAACATATAAACATAATATATGTTTAAATTGATAATTAAGATGATAATTTTCAAATAGGAATTCATTTGCTTTCAACTTTGGTTGTAAATCAACCAAGATGTTCTTAAAAAGTCCGTGAAAGTACCCAAAAATAAAACCAAATTTTTTCAAAAATTTTAGTAGAGATTTCTGGCATAAAACATATGCACTAATCTATTTTCCAATAAAAAATTGCTTTTTAATTCTATCTCTAACATCTGACTAGCAGTTTATTTGCATGCTAATTACTTCTAGTTTGTTTTTACAGATTATTGGTAATAAATATATTCATTTTATTTTTTAGAGAAGGGTGCCCCATTCAACCTGGTTCCAGCTTACAGAAAGTGGTGTATCTTCTTCCCTTACTTTCTTCAAATAAAGATCGAAGAGGTATTGCTTTAGATGGACAACTCAAAAAACAAGACAGTAATTTGGCTTCGACAACTTTGTAAGTAATTTAAGCTAGGATAAATTGACTGATGTAAAAATTCGGGACACATAAAAGACAAGTTTAACAAGATCTTGAAAATGAGGAAATTCAGAAAGCTTTAAAATAAAGAGGCACATTTATTTGAACTGGCGCTTTGTCCCGCATGTCTCGCAAAAATATACGACAATAAAACAATGAAAACTTCTAATTGAATTGTTGCGTGAACGCTTCTATAAACTATAGTATCTGAAACAATTTAAACGGGAGAAACTCAAATCAAATAGAAATTTTTACCTCTGACCACAATAATCTTATGTTTTTATTAAATTATTCAACAATTTAACTTAACTATCCTTATTATAAATCAAAATTCAAATGACAGACAAGGGACCTTAATTTTCGATTTGCCTAATAATTCCACTGACACGTTGCATCATCCTTTGGACGACCTAGGTGTCAATTTCTCAAATTTTTGTATATATGCGGCGTCTCAACTGTTCCTGATTTTGTGCTTCCCATCAGTTATTGCCCAGAACTCTTTAATTGGACGAGCCTGAGGTAGGTTGGGGGAATTGTCTGCTTTCGGTACAAAGGTAATGTTGTTAGTTTCGTACCAGTCCCTTGTGATCCTCGCGTAATGACATGAAGCAAGATCTGGCCAAAAGACTATTTGCGTTTAAGGCTTCCCCTCGAACAACACCAATTGTTGTCTGTGAGATAAAGCGAGCCTCAGAAATTGCACACCATACCAAAATTTTGTCGTCAAATTTTTTCTTACTTTTGAATTTTATTTCATCAGGTACATTTTCGTAATCGTTCGTGTAAAACCCATCATTACCCTTCATTTCAGATTTGGACAAAGTAAAATATTTTTCATCGTCCATCACGATCAACTTGTTGACGAAATGCACTCGCCTTAACGCGCGGCAATATCTCGGAATTATTTCTAATTGATCTTCTGTGTATTTTGGAACTTTCCTTCTTTTCCGGTAGATAATATTGTTACTCGATAAGGTCCTGTATACTGTAGTCTTTCCAACATGAAATCTTCTGGCTAGTTTTCGCTGTGAGACCCCCAATTCTTAGCTGCTTCAATCAGTCTTGCCTCTCTTATATGGTTCAAAATCCGCGGTCGGCCACTTTTACGCACGTTAACACATGGTATCCCTTCTTCACATTCTCTGATTGTGCGATAAATTGTCGATTTGCTTATGTTTTAATCTCGATAAATATTAACAATATCTCGTTTCGACATTCGCCCAACCATATTATAAACACCTCGAGGAATGACATTTATAAGACATTTTACAGAGCACAAACCAAAATATTCTGCTTTGTTTATTAAATGTCAATAACTGATGACATTTCAATTCCATGGCCTTCTTTGTTAAATGCATTTTGCTTCTCAATCAGACCAGGTGAAATTTTTTCCAAAACTTTAGGACCATATGTTATAGGAAAAGGCGCCACTTGTAGAAACTGAAGAAATTATTAAATTGGTCTAACCATATAATTTTGATGTTTAATTGTTAAGAAAATTTGTAAAAACAAACTATGCTCCAAAAACATATAAATATTAAATTTGTATTTACACCATTACAAAAAAAACTATATTTACTTATTTAGAAAATATAATTTAAGTTAACTTTGCGTTACAGCGGGACGTCCCGCGGAACGAGATAGCGAAAATAGCTGTAGGACGGGACGGCACTGTGTATAACATAACAAATAATTATGTATTTTGTAGGTTAGCATCACCTGATCAGCGAGATGCATTCGGTATTATCGTATCTTATGCAGTAAAAATAAAATTATACCTTGGTGCACTAGGTGGAGAACTTGCTGCTGAACTACCATTTGTTTTGATGCATCCTAAAGTATGTATATTGATTTACATTTTAAATTTTACTTACAGTTTTTCTAATTACAATATTTATAGGATACAGGAATTCATGTATTTCTTGAACATATTATTACCTTTCGCATAATGACCTTTCTAGAGCCTTGGCATCGCGCATTATCCTCTTCCAGTCCTCACGTTAGCCTATATATGTATAAGATCGGACAGGATGCTTGTGGACTGTATATTTATTTCTTCTATAAGGTTAGTTGAAGATAACTGCAGGCTCAATCGTCTAATTGGCTTACCTTCAAGGATTGCTAAGTATTGTTTGTTTAATAAAACTCATCACATCCCAAAGACCATATATGGACTCCACCCGGACTACAATACGTTCAAAATTAGAGTAATACATAATTTATTTACAACTATCTTTCTCAACGTTCCTCCACTAAATTTATGTTTTTCCTTTTGAGGGCATCCTCCACGTGTTGATATGTATTACAACGATAATATCTAAACACTCTCGTCTCTTATAGTAGGCCAAACGTGGACAAACATTGTAATATTACAAACAAATATACCACTAAAGACGCGAGACCCTTTACAAATATCTAGTTAAGTTATTATTCAAAATATAATGTATTTTTATATTACACACTATGAAATCGCAAACTAAACTAGAACTTTATCAGTAAAGTTCACCCTAACAATAATACACTGAAAACATTTGTTTTTAACACTTCCACAAAATTTATTTTATATTATTATCTCTACAGCTGTTTCGGTCAGAGTGCCTTTCTCAAGTGATCTATTTTTGGTATGTATTTACACTTTATAGTCTTTAACTGAATAAGTTGGGGAGTGGAGAACTGTTTGTCTCAAGTTGGCCATTCAGAATTATGTCTGTTTTTTTTTTATTAACGCATCGACCACGCAGGGTCATTAGCGTATTTAGATTATGTAACATATGTGACAGTTGATACAATATGTGAATATAGATTAGGTTACAATAATAATAATAATAATAATAATAATAATAATAATAATAATAATATATAATATATAAATAATAATAAACGGAGTTCAAAACTTCTGGTTAAAGAAGTTTTGGAGTGTTCATGAGCTTTTAACAGTATTTATTAATAATATTATTTCTAATTTACAGGAAATACCATCATTTCTTACTCAGGGAACCACTTATCTAATACCGAAGGATCAAAATAACACCCAAGATCCAGCCAAGTACCGCCCAATTACTTGTCTTCCAACTTTGTACAAATTGGTCACATCCTGTGTGGCCCGGCGTATCTACCAACACTGTGCTCTGAACAATATCATAGAGCCCCAACAGAAAGGATGCGCTAAGGGCTCCATGGGATGCAAAGAACAACTTATTATCGACTCAGTCATTTCTAACCAGGCATACACCAAAAAACGAAACCTGTTTACTGCCTTCATTGACTACAAGAAGGCTTTTGACTCAGTGCCGCATGAATGGCTTATAGATATATTGAAAATATATAAAGTCGATGATAATCTCGTGACCTTTTTGAAGCATATAATGACAAAGTGGAAGACTAAAATTCACCTTCAAATACCTGGTGAAACCAATATCGAAACTGAAGATATCGCTATTAACCGGGGCCTTTTCCAGGAGGACTCGTTGAGTCCACTTTGGTTTTGCCTAGCGATGAACCCACTATCTCAGCTGCTGAACTCCACTGACTCAGGATTTAGCATCAAAAATAACAACACTGTTGTGGCGAAGCTTAATCATCTGTTGTATATGGATGATTTGAAACTAATGGCTTCCACTCGAAATCACTTAGATCAGATACTAAAAACTGTAGAAACTTTCTCAAATGATATCAGTATGCATTTTGGACTAGACAAGTGCCGTATACTAAATATAGTCAGAGGAAAGGTTCAGCCCGGAGGTTTCGATATGCAAGATGGCCAAAACATCGAAGCAATGGGTGAAAATGATATTTACAAATATCTCGGAGTAAAACAGGCGCGGAAAATTGACCATAAACAGATGAAAACTGAACTAACTTCGGAGTTCGTGCGAAGAATAAGACAACTAAATCGGTCATATCTTAATAGTAAAAATTTGTTTAAGGCATTAAATACGTACGCCTGTTCCGCGCTGAGCTACTCATTTGGTATTATAAAGTGGTCAAAAACGGATATAGAGGGTCTTCAGCGGAAAGTAAGAACACTTCTCACAAAGGCGCAAAAACATCATCCACGCAGTGCAGTAGAGAGAACAACATTACCGCGGTATCAAGGAGGAAGAGGACTTATGGATATAGGTGAGCAATTAGATAAACAAATTGCTAATTTAAGATCTTATTTTCAGGTACAGGCTGAGACATCTACTTTACATCGAGCAATTTGCGCAGTAGATGACACAACGCCGCTTAAACTGAGGGAACAAGAAATGCGCACAAACCATCTGACTAAGCAAGAAAAAATGCGCACCTGGATGAGTAAACCTCTGCATGGGCGACATCTCAATGAGATCAACCAAGAATATGTCGACAATACAGCGTCGAACTATTGGTTGACATCAGGAAAGATGTTTCCCGAGACTGAAGGTTTCCTACTTGCCATTCAGGATCAGGTTATTCCAACTAAAAATTACCTGAAATATATTGTTAAAGATCCTCAAGTCCAAAATGACAAATGCCGATATGGATGCCAAGCCCAAGAAACCATCCAACATCTTACCGGTGGCTGCCAGGCATTTGTCGGTACTGATTATAAAGAACGCCATGACTCAGTAGGAAAGATTATCCACCAAGAACTAGCTGACAAACTGGGACTTCTCCAAACCGACCATCTTCCTTATTATCAATATGTCCCTGACAGAATGCTTGAAAATGACAACTACAAGCTATACTGGGACCGCACTGTGCTCACAGACCAACCAGTGGCCCATAATAGACCGGATCTCATACTAGTGAATAAAATTACCAGGCAAACAACACTTATTGATGTGGCGATACCTAACACTAACAATTTGCTTGTTAAATACAACGAAAAGATCGCCAAGTATAGAGATCTGGAAATACAAATCAAGAGACAATGGAGAATGGAAAGTACCCAGACAGTACCTATTGTTCTATCTACTACTGGTGTTATTCCCAAAAACCTCCTAGCGAACATAAAACAGCTGGGTCTAAATGAACATCTTTATAAGGCCATGCAAAAAGCTGTACTCCTCGCGACCTCCAGATGTGTACGAAAATTTCTGGGAGATACTCCGACATACCAAGTCACCTAGGGCTCGATAACACGGAAAGAGTCCCACCAGAGCTCAATCCTTTTGATACCGTAGGTATCTGGGATGAGTGAATTTTCCCCTTAGAGGGAGTGTGAGCCGTATGGCTAAATCTGGGATAATAATAATAATATGTATGTATGTTAAAATGTACGTTTTAGATCTTTTGAAGAAGTTGACAGTCTTTAAGATAGGAAAAAAATTTTCGGTTATGTGTATTTTCTTCTAGGGCATCTTTTAGGGAGTTAGGTATGTTATATTTGAGTCGTTCACTGTTATATTTGGGACACTGTATTAAAAAATGTTTTACCGTTAGAACACTGTTGCACACTTCACACACTGGTTTGTTTTTGCGTTGTAATAAATAGTCATGAGTAAGTCGTGGATGGCCGATACGGAGACGGGTAAGTATCACTTGTTCTCTTCTGTCTTTTATTGTTGGTTTCCATAGATGTGGGTGTTTGTTGACTTCGTATAGCCTTGATGGAGTGTTGTTCCAAGTTTGTTGCCATTTGTGAATTATTTTTTGTTTTAAGTATGGTTTTAGATCGTTTTGTACCAATATGTTGCTTTCTTCAGACATCGGGTTAGTTGGTGCGTTTTTGGCCAGTTTATCTACAGCTTCGTTACCTTCAATTCCTACATGAGAAGGTACCCATAAAAAGTGCACTTGGATATTCTTATTTGAAATGTTTTTAAGTTCTTTTTTAATAAGAAGTAGAAGGGGGTTGTCGCAGTATAATTGAGTCAGTGAGGTTAATGAACTTAGAGAATCTGTGATTATTATACATCTTTCTTTGTTTTTGTTTTGTATTAACGATAGTGCTTTTAGAATTGCGAATAATTCAGCTGAAAATATGGTTGTAATTGATGACAATTTGAAGCTAACTGAGGAGTCTTCCGAATAAATTGCTGCTCCAACTCTGTCTTCATTTTTTGACGCATCTGTGTATACGTTGTAGGTATTGCCATATCTGTTTAATAGTGTATGAAACTTTTGTTTAATGACGGTTGATGACATCTCTGATTTTCTTAGGTTTGTTAGACTGATGTCGATAGCAGGAATATATATTGTCCATGGTGCAGGGTTGTGGATTGATGAGGTATCATAGGTTTTTGGAAATTGAAAATTTAATTTGGATAAGTATGATTGTATACGAAAGTAAAAAGGATGATCAATTTGATCTGTTTGTTGAAATTTATTTGTAAATCGGTCAGCAAAAACGTTATGCAGTACTGGATTATTTCGGTTTGATGACACTGCCGCTGCATATGTTAGGCTTAGATATTGTCTTCTGAAAGAAAGAGGAAGTTCTCCACTTTCCCAATAAAGACTTTGAATGGGACTTGTATAGTGAGCACCTAAAGAAATACGTAGACATCTATTTTGGATAATATCCAGTGACTTCAAATATGTTTTTTTGGAGGAGTTGTAGACTATGGCTCCATAGTCAAGTTTTGATCGAATTATCGATTTGTAAATAAGTATTAAACTTGAATAATCAGCACCCCAGTTTTTAAAGGCAAGTGATCGAAGTAAATTGATACCAGGAAGACAGGATTTTTTCAGCTGTTGAATATGTGTCTTCCAAGTTAATTTTTTATCAAACGTCATACCCAAGAATCGGATTTCTTCTACATGATCTAGTTTTTGTTCGTGTAGATATAATTCTTTTGTTTGGATTTGATTTCTCTTTGAGAAACAGATTGCTTTCGTTTTTGAAGTGTTAAATTGAAGTCCACTTGTAGCTGACCATTTCTCAATGTGTGTTAACGCGTTTTGAATGTGATTGTAAATCGTTGCTATGTTTTTTCCTCTACAGAAAATAACTAGATCGTCAGCATATAATCTAGCTTTGACAGGGTTTTCAATTTCTGTTAATATCGAATTTATTGCTACTAAGAATAAAGTTGTGCTTAAATTTGATCCTTGTGGTATACCATTTTGTTGAATTTTTGTTTGAGAATATGTTCCGTCAACTCGAACTTGAAATTGTCTGTTTTCAAGAAAATTTGAAATGTATTTTAATATGTTACCCCTTATTAACCAGTTGCTGAGTGTTTTAATGATTGAATATTTGCAAACTGTATCATATGCTTTGGTTATATCAAAAAATATTCCAACACAATGTTGTTTTATTGCAAATGCTTCGTGGATTTCTGATTCTAAGTCAACGAGGTTGTCTAAAGTTAAGCGATGTTTTCGGAAACCACATTGTTCTGGAATAATTAAGTGTTTTGATTCTAGATACCACATAAGCCTATTGTTTATTATCTTTTCTAATATTTTACCTATGCTACATGTGAGTGATATCGGTCGATATGATTGTGGATCTGATTTTGGTTTAGTTGGTTTTAGAATAGGTATTATGATTGAATTTTTCCATGATTTAGGAAATACGTTTCTGGATAGGATTATATTGTAGATTTTGAGTACATATTTTTTAGATTGAGGGCCTAAATTTTTTAGGAATATAAACGGTATATTGTCGGGTCCAGGACAAGTGTTCTTACAATTTTGAAATACATTTTCTAATTCTTCCTCTGTTATTGGTATATTTAGATCGTTATTATTTTGATCGTAAAATTTTATAGGATTTTTTTCTTCTTTTATTTTGATTTTTAAGAAATTGGAAGTATAATTTAAGTTACTTGAGTTATATTCATAAGTAGATGCTAGTATATTGGATACTTCTTCTGGGCTTTTATAAAAAGTGTTATTTTGAGTTAGAAAGTTGATTGATTTATGGGGTTTGGAACAAGACATTTTGTTGACTTTTTTCCATATAACAGTTATAGGACTTGAACTATGTATTGTGGTAACATATTCTCTCCAAGAGTCACGTTTGGCTTTTTTAATGGTATACCTAGCGACTGCTCTTAATTTTTTGAATTCTATAAAATTTTCTTGAGTTTTGTGTCGTTTGAATTTATTAAAAGCTTGTTTCGATTGTTTTAATGCTTCTTTGCAGTCATGATTCCACCAAGGTACCGAGTGATGTTTGTAATCGTACTTAATTGTCCCAACGTACTTTTTTGCTGATTCTGTGATTACATTTGTCAGAGAGTATATTGTTTTGTCTATATCTACATTGTTATTTAGATTTTGCAGGTTGTTTTCAACGTAATTTTGAAATTCTATCCAATTTGCGCCTTTTAAATTCCATTTTAGTTGTTGCGGGGTAGTTGATTGTAGTTCATTGCTTATTATGATAGGGTAGTGATCACTATCATATAGATCTGGTAACACATCCCATGTAAGAGTATGTGTAATTGAAGGTTCGCAAATACTTAGATCTATACTAGAGCCTTCACCTGTTCTTATTTCAAAGCGCGTATGTTGTCCGTCGTTAAGAATATTTAGATTGATTTCTTCTATTATTTTTTCTATTTTTCGACCTAGAGATGTTAGTTTTGTTGAACCCCATAACGGATTATGTGCATTGAAATCTCCAATTATTATCCGTGGAGCAGGTAGTTGATTTAATAGGTTTGAAATTTCTTTTGAATCGGGTTCTTTATTGGGGGGAATGTAAATATTGCAAATTGAAAAAGAAATTGTGTCTGTGACTCTAATTCCAATTGCTTGGATAGTTGTTCTAAGTTTTATTGGTTTAGCGTCAAAGCTATCTTTTATGTAGATTGCTACCACTCCGCTTGCAATTTTCGAATTTTCTCGATTTCTAAAAAAACAATTGAAATTCTTTAAGTCATGAGCTTTGTTGTTTTTGAAGTGGGTTTCTTGTAAACATATCAGACTAGGCTTATGTTTTGAAATTAATAATTTTAACATTTCTAAATGGGTATAATACCCATTTATGTTCCATTGAATTAGAGAGTTGAAAATGACGTGTTATTAATTTTCTGTTGATGTGTCGCTTTCTAAGTCTGTTTGAATGTCTAAGTTGATTTGTTTTAATATTTTATTTTTTATTCGAGTGCATTTGACTTTAATTTTTCGGTCCTTTAGGTAAGGATATATATTAGTTAATAGATCTGTGACCTCTGCTGTTTCTCTGAAGTTAGTATTTCCACCACCAGAGAAAAAAATCAGTACCTTCTGCTCGATTAAATATACAGGCAAGATATCAACAAAAATAGCCAAACAAATAAAAAATAAAGGAATAACACCAGCTTTTAGAACAAACAACAACTTAAGCAAATATTTTAAGAACAACAAGAACAACATATTAAGAACAAAAGAAAAGCACTTATACAGTGATGTACACAAACTTAAATGTGGCGACTGCCCAAAAACATACATCGGTCAAACTGGTAGAACTTTTAACAAATGTATAGCAGAACACAAAAGGGCTTTTGATAATAGAAAATCAGATTCTACGTACGCACTTCATCTTCTATATCATAATCATTCTTTTTTGGCAAATTTCAAATTCTTCACTTTCAAAATAAAGGCCTTAAATATATTTATTAAAATCTATGGAAATTAACAAATTAAAAAAAAACAGATATAATTCTGAATGACCAACTTGAGACAAAGAGTTCTCCTCTCCTCAACTTATTCAGTTGAAGACTATACAGTGTAAAGTCATACCTTCAGTGTTTTATTGTTAAAGTTCATTGTATGTACATGAAATATGTCTAGAATGTTTTAAGTAATCCTAAAATTGTATAATATTCAGTATGTTGTATCTGTTTAAAATAAGAAAGTTGGTATTGGCCATCGTTACATAACACACCCTGTATGAAAAGTTTTTATTGCAAAAAAATGCGTAACTAAAAATACTAATCGACGTGCCCGAGCGTTTTTTTGAACATGTCCCCTTTTATTTATTATCGAATTAATTCCATTTGGCTGTTCCATTCTGTATGTTACTAACATGTGAAAATGTATCAAAAGGAACCGGTATTCTTCTTCTTACGGTGCCTTATCCTTAAGGACGTTGGCCATTACATTTGCCCATTTAATCTTATTTGTAGCAGCCCTGAATAGTTCTATGGAGGTCATGTTCGACCATTGCCGTAGGTTTTTAAGCCAAGAGTTGCGTCTTCTTCCTGGTCCGCTTTTGCTATTGACTTTGCCTTCGATTATAAGTTGGAGCAGTTCATACTTTTGATTTCTTATGATGTGACCAAAATATTGTGTTTTCCGTTCTTTTATTATAAGCATAAGCTCTCTTTCCTTATCCATCCTCCGCAAGACTTCCGCATTTGTCGTATGGCTCATGTAGGATATTCTGAGCATTTTACGGTAACACCAGAGTTCGAATGCTTGGATTCTTTTTTGTGTTGCTTCTGTCATTGTACAGGCTTCAACACCATAGAGCAAGGTGGAGAAAAGATAGCACTTAAGTATTCTAGTTCTCAATGAGATGCCCAGCTGGCGGTTGCATAGAACTTTTTGCATTTTGTAAAACATTGTACGTGCCTTTTCCAGGCGTATTCTTATCTCTAGTGAGTGGTCCCAAGTTTCATCAAGATTACTTCCAAGGTACGTTGTTCTTGTTACTCTTTCCAGATCTGTTCCGTCGACATTGACCTTCACCCTTCTGTTTTGGTGCTTGCTGATGACCATCGTTTTTGTCTTCTTTGTATTCAATTTCATTCCAAATTCTCTACATGCTGTCGTTACTCGGTCCATTAAGCGTTGCAGGGCTTTAGCATTATTTGCCAGTATGACAGTGTCATCAGCATATCGCAGGTTATTTATACATTGCCCGTTTATAATTATACCATCCGAGGTGCCTTCCAAAGCTTTCTGAAATATAAAATTAATGGGAAAAACCCCGTAATTGGCTGTATACCATCGTTTAAAAAAACACAGAAGTTAAAACACTTCACAAATGTGTATATAGGTATAAAACAAACAAGTTAAAACTTTTTAAAAAAGTGTTGTCACATTTAAAGTTCTGGCAGAACGTTTTCGATCACTACGGATCATCTTCAGTGCCTAGTATTTGTTGCTAACAATATGGTGTCTATAAGACTTCCATGTTTGGGTTGGTAAAGTGTCACATTTTACATTAGATAATGTTGAAACTGTAGGTCGATGACAATGGATGTATTTAAAATTAAAAATTTACTTTAGGGACTACATGTCTCCTAAGCTCGAATACTTGCACGTTGTCAGTTGAAGCGACGACACAGACCAAACGGCTGATGTCACAGGAGATAACTTAAAGACAGCTAAACTTAACAGGATTTCAGTATGTTCCGAAATTAATGTAATTTTAATTTTTTTTTTTAATTTGTGAAATTGGAAACATTGGAAACTTTCTGAAATATCTTCTCAGAGTAGAACCGGTATTAATTTGCTGAAATTTAAATATCATTTACCTTTTACATTTTATAACAATAAATCCGATTGTTCTAATTAATTTTTCTTTTATTTTAGCCGAGTGCTAAGGGAAAGGTTATCCATGCGGACAGTCAAGCGGAAGTTGAAACTTTTAAACATGACACCATTGATCAGGATGCAGATGATGATAAATGTGATTAAGCAATAATCCAATCTCTTCCGTTAATACCTAATTAAAAAATAAGTCGGTTAAGAGCCTACCATTTGTCAAAAATATAAAAGTTCAACATAATACTAAAACACTGTAATCTACTGGAATGGACGAATAATTAATGTTATCTAATAACGAATTGCTTATGATGCGAAGTACAATAAAAATGAGGTTGTAGAGATTGTTTGCCATAGCACTTAAAAATTGTAAAATATACTAAATGGTGAATCTTTCATTTAAATTTAAATAGGTATCGTTTATTTTTAAATGGATATATTCCAAATAGGATATTGTATAAATTTATCGGTTATTTTAGAAACTCAGAAAGTCATGGAACCGTCAATTTTATTAATCCGAATGTATTAATCTCTGTGACTGATGTTTTTCGACAATAAGTGATTCCAATGTATTTAATACCACGCTAAGAAAAATATATTCGAATATTACTAAACTTAAAAAGTTGTTAATCGAAAATCTATTGTACTCATTGATTGTATCTTATAAAATATTTTGTTTAACACTTTATAATTTTATCTCTTCACTCATGTGTCTATATCTAATATATTCACAGCCAAAAACATGCTCGTGAAATTCATAAACACGGCCTGATCGTTTTAATATTATATAAAATATAATATTCGTTGAACGACAGATTCAGAGTATATACCAGAGATTGTGAAATAGCGATTGTGAGTAGGTGGCAAGTCGTGCCTATCGCCTCCTTAGGTGAATATCACGAGGTCTAACCTTACGGACATACCGAAGATACATGGATGTGCGCGGTGGAGGTCGTGGTCGCGGTTTACATCGATGACGAGCAGAACATATCGAAGATATCTTTATTAGTTTAAGCTAGTAAGGTAACCTAAGAGAATTCAAACCAGCAAAAATGTGTGCCATAGATCTCAATTAAGATCATTCACTAGTAAGGATGTAAGACTTTCAAAAATTTTGACTACTACTTCAATGGATACCCAAAAGAGAATAAATTTTCAGAAAACTGCAAGCCATACTACAAGCTAAAAGATAGCGTCTTAGTTGTAGCAGGTGTAGTCTTCTTTGAGGACAAAATTATAGTTACTACAGCTCTGAGAAAGAGTTATATAAGAATAATGCATAAAGGACACCTATGTATAATTAAAATCATAAACAAGTCAAGAAAAATATTTTATTGGCCCCACCTTAACAACATCACAACATTCAAAGTATGTAGGACATGTGAAAAATACTTACCCAAGAATTTCAAGGAGCCCATGTAACCATAAACTATCTTTTCCATTGGATAGATCTTGCCATTTTAAAAGATGGCTTCAAATTCTATAATCGATGAATTTCAAGATGAGTTCAGCAAATTTGGATACTCACAGTTTCTAATCGCCGACAACTTTACCCTTTGTACCACAGAAATATTTGAGTTATTACCGTGGAAAAGATATCACTATCGTAACATGTACTCTTACGTGAATGGCCTTGCGAAAAAGGCTGTCAATATCTCAAAATTTAAGGAAAAGTGTAAAAGTAAACACCGATTTTCGCGAATCTGTAATGGAATATAACAATATAGGAATAATCGCGCTCAAAGACTCTCCGGCCCAGATTCTCCAAAGCAGAACTTTACGAACTCAACTATTAACCAGGTATAACCTCAGATACAAAACGCAACATATAAATTGCTATGTAAACAACAAGGGAAGAGTGCCCGTCATGTCATAAGCTCTTCATTAAGCTACTTATCGGGAAATGATAGAACAACGTTTGAAACTGAATTTAGGTCCTTGGTGAATTCAAAAATAATGTTTTTTACTTGTGTTTTTGAGTCTTGAAAATGGTAATTTTTCGTTTTTCTCAGTTTTAAAATATTTATAACTCGAAAATGATTAAGTTGACAGAAAAACTACAAGTGACCTATTTTGTTCAGAATGACCCAAAATATTCAAAAAAAATTTATCCAGGCCAAAAAAACTGATTGTTACACTTTGTTTCAAAAAAATTTGAGCACCTTTTCACCTGGTCGACCTCTTGAACCTTATTTTGCGGTATCTTATGAAAGTGATTATGCAAAAAAATCTGATGGAAATATTTTTTCGAATAAACCCGAGATTTTCGTCATGTCTATTAAAAATAAGACTCGATAGTATGTAATATGATTCAGAAAAACATTTAGCATTATCTCATTATGTGATTTTTCTCATTTTATTTCTGGTTCTATACTTTATTTTAATCGTTTCTTCTGACACCATGTCATTAACGTATCTGAGATGGTTCAAATTGCCTATTGATTTTGATTCTATTTCCTTTCGTTATCTTGTTTTGACTATACCTGTCAATTTCCAGCTGAATTTGTTAATAGTAGAAATAATAATAAAAATATAATTTTAATTAAATAGAACCTTATTTCGTAAAAAAATGTGAATACCATTAAAACTGTAATTACTTTAAGAACTAAAACTTTATGTAAGATAATTTATACATAACAAGCTGTACCTAAATACAATAAAGATATAGGAATACTCTCAATATGTTTTATTTCATCTACCCATTATCACTACAGTAGAACCTCGATTATCCGTCTCTCTATTAACCGCCACCTCTGTTAACCGTCAGGGTCAGGTGCAGTTATGCCACCACCGCATTTTTTTTTGTAAATAATTTTTGTTCTTATTCAGGGATGTTGAATAAATTTTAATGTTAATAGGTGATGATAAAACCGTACTTTTAAAGTTCTATTTTTATAATCGCAAGCCGAAAATAAAAACGCACAGCACAATAATTATTACGGTCAATATCTGTTTGTCACCATAATTCATTTTGATTCAAATTCGATCATTGTTTATGTGACTTTCACAGTCGTTTGATCAATTAGGTTTTGAAAAATGGAACCTTCCACATCTGGAGTATCAAAAAGAAAACGTGTTGTTTTGTCAGTTGAAAAAAAAAATAGAAATTTTTGCAGAACTAAAGATCTAAAGGTGTTTCTGCTGTCGCATTGAGCAAAAAGTATGATGTTCCGAGAACAACAATCAATGATTTAAAGAAAAAGGCTGAAGGAATTGAAAAGTATGCTTCGCAAATGGAATCGTTGGATGTCCAGGTGAAACATCGTAATGCCGGGTCCAGACCAAACAGACAAAACAAAAATATTCATGTTTCGCGACAAAGTGGCGACAAATCGAAAACATTTGTTGAGACATTTCTGAACAATTTTGTTTTGTTTGCAAATTTGAAAACTTTTTCAGGTCCCGTCTCAGGTCGGTAAAGATCAAAAAGTCTGTGTTTTGTCTGTGTATTTGACGACAAGTTGTCGGCGCAGTGTGGACGCGTGTGCGTGCCAAAACGAGTTAAGCAGTAGGAGAAGTAGAATGTACAATTTTTATCAAAATTACGTGTATTTTTCTGTTACTTAGTCTCAACACAAATGTTCACTCAACTCCATCCAACTCCAACCCACAACATTTGTACTCAAATCCACCCAGCACTGACACACAACATTTATACTCAAATCCTCCCAGCATTGACACACGTTCATACTCAACTCCTCCCAGCATTGACACACATTTATACTCAAATCCACCCAGCATTGAACATTTATACTCAAATCCACCCAACACGCAACATTCATACTCAAATCCACCCAGTGCTGACCCAGAAAATTATTACTTAAATCCACCAAACTTTATTTTCACATCCACCTAGTATTGACACAGAGCTTTCTCAGTATTCAGATCAAGAAAACGAACGGAATTGATGATGAACTTTTTGAATGTAAAAACAAGTAGACTCGTCATTATTTTGCATGTAGTATGTACAGTTGCGGTCACGGAATAGTTTACAGGTTCACGTATCTAGGAGCCCATTTTTTAAATTTTTACTTCGTTTAAACGCACCTTTTACGTCAAAGTGACGTTGCCAGTGGTGTACTAGCTAGAATAGGTAGATTAAAATTAAAATATCAAAATATTTTACAAAATGAAAAATATAGAAAACAGTTTTTTGAATAAAATGGATTATGATCTTAATAACGAAAATAAAGAAGTCTTTTTTTTTAATATGCATTTTATTTTAAATCTATTTTATATTAAATAACGATAAACAATGATAAATAATAATTAATATTTGGTGGAAGCCCCATTCTTGTCAATACAATTTTGCAGTCTTCTGTTCATAGATAGCACCAATCCCCTCATGTTATAGTTAACAAGATGTATGTCAAGAGTTTAATATACTTTTATTTTATTGTTGAACACTCGCGAAAGCATTGACGTTTTGAAATTTTTTGACTTTGACATTTATCAAATTTGACAAAATCAAACGACACTGCAATTTTACAGTATTACAATATAAAAAGTAAGGTGTAAACTATTCCGTGACCGCAACTCTACCTATCGTCAACTTCTTTTGTATTAAACATTTGAGGAGGTGTCAATCAAAATCAATCATGTCCACCTTAAGAAGTTTTAGGGAAATCGCAAAAAACGTATTAGTAAATAACCTTACATGAAAAATCGGATAAATTAGCATATATCATTTTATTTATTGAAATTAACTGACTCTTAGTAAATATTTCAAATCTGAAGGTATAAATAAACCTGTAAATACATTTTAAAAAAAGGACATGTTCTTATTTGATTGGACTTCATGGACGTTGATAGAAGGGGTAGATAAAAAAACTCTTAGACTACATAAAATATCTATTGTATTGTTGCAAAAAATATCTTGAAAAATGGCTAACATTTACCAACGACACTTTCCACAAAATATGTATAAATGTTTAAATGTGTAGTCCAATGTCAGGTTCTAGACAATCACAGGATTCGTCCACTTCGTCAGCATCAATTTCGTCGTCCTGGACTTCCACTATTATGGTCTTATACCAAGATAAAAAGTCATGTTTCTGCCAGTCATCACCATACATTTTCACAATTAACGTCTCCACGTCCTTCTTCTTAGCTTCTTTCACTATATTGCTCAGTGGAAGTGACTCTCCAGGAGT